AAGGCTGACGTTTCAGGCCTAGACCATTTCTGAAGAAGGGTCTAGGCTCGAAACGTCAGCCTTCCTGCTCCTCTGATGCTGCTTGGCCTGCTGTGTTCATCCAGCTCTACACCTTGTTATCTCTAGGCCTTTATTCATTACAGTTTATAAGAGCGAGGGGTAATCTCACTGAAATGTACAAGGTTCTAAGGGGGCTTGTTGAGATGGATATTAAAGGTGACATTTTCACTGGTTGGGTATATGAAACTATTGGTCACAGCTGCACAGTGACAGGGAATTCAGTTAAAACTCAGATACAAAGAAATTACTTCTTCCAGGGGTCAATGAATATCTAGAGAGTTGAGAAATTACATCTTTTATAGTGTCATACAGTACGGAAACAGACCCTTCAGTCCAATTGGTCTGTGTTGACCAGACATCCCAATCTGACCTAGACTCATTTGCCAGCATTTAGCTCATATCCTTCTAAACCCTTCTTATTCATATTCCCATCCAGATGCCTCTTAAACGTTGTTAAGGGTCATAGAGTCCTACAGCACAGAGACAGGCCCTTTGGCCCAAACTGGTCCATGCCGACCAAAATGTCCATCCACACTAACTCCATTTCCCTGCACCTGGCCCATATCCTTCTAAACCTTTCCTTTCCATATCTTCATTCAAATGCCTTTTAAATGTTGTTAATGTACCTGCCTCAACCACTTCTGCTGGCAGCTCATTCCATTAGCTTTTACACAGAAGGTGGAACAAGTTGCCCCTCAGGTTCCCATGTATTCTTTCCCCTCTTACCCTAAACTGATACCCTCTAGTCTTCAATTCCCCAACCCTGGGAAAAAGACTGAGTGCATTCACCCTATCCATGCCTCTCATGATCTTATAGACTTCTATAAGATCCCCCCTCAGTTTCCTATGCTCTAAAGAAAAATGTCCTAGTTTGTCCAACCTCTCCCTATAACTCAGTCCCTTGAGTCCTGGCAACATCCTTGTAAATTTCTTCTGCACTCTTTCCAATTTAATAACATCCTTCCTATAACAAAGTGATCAAAACTGAACACAATACTCCAACTGCGGCCTCACCAACATCCTGTACATCTGCAACATAACTTCCCAACTCCTATACTCAGTGCCCTGACTGATGAAGTCCAGTGTATCAAAAGCCGCCTTCACTGCCCTGTCTACCTGTGACTTCACTTTCAGAGAACCATGCACCTGAACTCCAAGGTCCCTCTGTTCCACTACACTCCCTAAGGCCCTAACATTCACCATGAAACTCCTACCTGGATTTGACTTTCCAAAATGCAACACTTCACACTTACCTATATTAAACTCCATTTGCCATTTCTTGGCCCACTTTCCCAACTGATCAAGATCCTGCTGCAATTTCTGATAACCTTCCTCACTGTCCACAATACCGCCTATTTTAGTGTCATCTGCAAACTTACTAATCATGCCTTGTGTATTTTCATCCAAATAGGTGATATAGATAACAAACAGCAATGGGCCCAGCACCAGCCCCTGAGGTACATCACTAGTCATAGGCCTCCAGTCTGACAAGCATCCTTCCACTATTACTCTCTGCTTCCTACCATCAAGCTAATTGTGTATCCAGTTGCCAGCTCCCCCTGGATTCCATGCGATCTAACCTTCCAGAGCAGCCTACCATGTGGAACCTTATCAAAGGCCTTACTGAAATCCATATAGACTACATCTACTGCACTGCCCTCATCAACCTTCCCGGTCACTTCATCAAAGAGCTCTTAACAAATTTGTGAGGCATGATCTCCCATGCGCAAAGCCACGCTGACTACTCCTAATCAAACCCTGTCTTTCCAAATGCATATCTTATCCCTCAGAATCTTCTCAAGTAACTTCCCTACCACAGATGTTAGGCTTACTGGTCTATAATTTCCAGGTTTTTCTTTGCATCCCTTCTTGAATAAAGGCACAACATTCACTACCCTCCAGTCTTCCGGGACCTCACCTGTTTTTTTTCCTTTTTTTCATCCAGACCCATCCCCTAACCCTATCCTCGTACTTCCCATGGCCTTCACATCCTTGGACACTACGGGCAGTTTAGCATGGCCAATCCACCTACCCGGCACATCTTTGAACTACGGGAGGAAACCGGAGCACCCGGAGGAAACCCACGCAGACATGGGGAGAACATGCAAACTCCACACAGACAGTCACCCGAGAGTGGAATCGAACCCAGGTCCCTCGCACTGAGGCAGCAGTTCTAACCACTGATCCAATGTATCGATGTTATTGTGCCAGCCTCCAGCACTTCCTCTGGCAGCTCATTCCATACATGCACCACCCTCTGTGTGAAAAGGTTACCCCTCATGTCCTTTTTAAATCTTTCCCCTGTCACATTTCCATACTGTACGACTCCATGCCTGGGGAACAGGCAATAAATGCTGACCAGCCAGCAACAGCAACGTTCCTTAAACAAAAGAGAAAACCTCTGCACGATAGATCATGGGAACCTGGGGATTTGTCAATTTTCAATAGTTCAATCCTCAGTTAACTTTGCCAACATACCTCTTCTATTAATACTAACGTTTTCGGTTTTATTAGAATTCTTTGAGGAGGCAGCAGAGAAGGCAAATGGGATGTTGGCCTTTGCTTCAAAGGGAGTGAACTATAAAAGTAGGGAGGTTTTGCTAAAACTATAAAAGGCACTAGTCAGACAACTGCTGGAATACTGTGGATAGTTCTGGGGCCCCCTTATCTACGGGAAGGTAGACTGGCATTGCAGGCATTAAAAAAAAGATTCACTCAGCTGATCCCTGGGTGAGGAGGGACTGCCTTATGAGAAAGATTGAGTAGATTGGGCTTGTACTCATTGGAGTTTAGAAGAATGAAAGGAGACCTTATTGAAAGATTCAAGATTCTTAGGGGACTTAACAGGGGAGATGTGGAAGGGATGTTTTGCCTTGTGGGAGAGTCTAGGACCAGAGGACATCATCTCAAAATAGGGGGTCAACCATTTCAGACAGAGATGAGAAGGTATTTCTCCTTGGAGGGTAGTAAATCTGTGAAATTCTTTACCTCAGAGAGTTGTTGAGGCTGGGTCATTAAGTACATTGAAGACTGAGTTAGACAGGTTTTTAATCAGTAAGGGAATCAAGGGCTATGGGGAAAAAGCAGGAAAGTGGAATTAAGGATGATCAGATTAGCCATAATCTCATTGAATGGCAGAGCAGATTTGATGGGCCAAATGCCCTGTTTCTGCTCTTATTCCTTATGGTGACTCCCTCATTCTCTGAGTCCCTTGGATCTTTATTTCTGGGAAATTTTTTGTACCTTCTTCAGTGAAAGCAGGCATAACCCAATTATTCACTGCCATTTCCCTATTTTCCCATCATACATTACCCTGACTTTGCCTGTGACAGATCCCCAATGACTAGTCGCTGCTAATCTCTTCTTTGCGTATCTTCAGAAGCTTTTACAGTCCATTTTTATGTTTTCTGCTAGTTTACTTTCTCATTCTATTGTTCTTTCCTTAATCAGTTTCTTGGTCCTCAATACCACTGAATCCAACCCACCCTGTTCCGTAATACCCACTGCCACCCCAAACTCATTCCTGAATGATCAGAAATATGAGCTCTCCACCTTCCCTGATCAGACTCGGCAAACAGTGACTGCAGTCTCTCTTACCCAGCCTTTTTCCCATGGGCGGAGAATTCCCGGGCATAGGACAATGCCCTGTCACCATAGACAAAGTTCTCATCCACCATGGTGGAGCCCATGGCATTTTCCGATGTATACGTTTGCAGGATAAAGGGTTCAAAGGCCAGGCCCATGAACCAGGAGACCCCAGCAATGTAGCACATGAAGCTGGAGAGAGGAGAAAACACAGAGAATCAGAAATAGCTGGTCATTAACCAACAGGTCATTCCCACATCAGCAAAAAGACGCCAGTCAACCTCAGCAAATAAACAAAATCACCATTCACCCCATTAAACACCCGCAGGAGAGGGACAGCACAGGGTTAGATACTGAGTAATGCTCCCTCTACACTGTCCCAATCAAACACTCCCAGCACAGGGACAGCACGGGGTTAGATAGACAGTAAAGCTTCCTCTACACTGTCCCCCCCATCAAACACTCCCAGGACAGGAACAAAAGCAGAAGTTGCTGGAAAAGTTCAGCACATCTGGCAGCATCTGTGAAGAATAAAATCAGAATTAATGTTTTGGGTCCAGTGACCCTTCCTTAGAACAGTTTTGAGGAAGGGTCACCGGACCCGAAATGTTAACTCTGATTTTCTCTTCACAGATGCTGTCAGACCTGCTGAGCTTTTCCAGCAATTTCTGTTTTTGTTCCTGATTTACAGCAACCGCAGTTCTTTTGGTTTTTACTCCTAGGACAGAGTCAGCACAGGGTTAGATAGAGAGTAAAGCTCCCTGTACTCTGTCCCTGTCGGGTTACTTTGGGTTTGTTTCCTAAGCTTAACATTTCTTGTCCTGTAAAGGGATCCAAGTGTATGGGGAGAAAGTAGGATATGGAGTTGGATGATCGGCCATGAACATATCGAATGGTGGTGCAGGCTTGAAGGGTCAAATGGCCTACCCCTGCTCCTATCTTTGAGGTTCTCTCTTACCCGAGCCCACCATGACACTGCTACTCACCACAGCGGCGTGTTCATCCTGGTGAGCAGGTTTGTCAACACCTGCCTGCGGTTTGGATCTGAGAGGAGACCCATCTCTGCAACTTGACACAGCGACTCGAGAGGAAGGGGCACACTGTGGTTACACCGACATAATCTGCACTCTGAAAACAAACAGGAGGCAGGAAAGGCAATGAGTAACTTGGTAGGCTGTTATCCTTTGGGTGCGGTCAGTAATGTCACTGTGGCTGTGGTCTGGGAGGAAGAGGTGTACATGTAATTTATGCATAACAGGCTGCTATTAACATCAGATATTTACCACTTCATGTTAAAGATAGTACAGTAGCTGAACAATCTGCAGATGGGAAACATGAGCATGCTTTAGACTATATTCACAGAGTAGCTGGGGAGACAGTGGTGCTGGGAGATGCTGGTAACCCCAGGTGACTGCTCTGGGTTCGAATTGCATTGTGGCCGATGGGGAAACGTGTATTCAATAAAAACCTATGCCAATGGTGATCATGTATCTATAGTCAATTATCATAAAATCCCTTCTGGTTCACCAATGTCCTTTAGGGAAGGAAATCACAGAATCCCTACAGTGGGGAAAGAGGCCATTCAGCCCATCGAGTCTGCAGCAACCCTCCAAACAGCATCCCTTCCAGACCCAGCCCTCTACCCTATCCCCATATTTCCCATAGCCAATTTGAACTATGGGAGGAAACCGGAGCACCCAGAGGAAACCCACACAGGCACGGGGAGAATGTGCAAACTCCACACAGACAGTCGCCCTAGGGTGGAATCGAACCCGGGTCCCTGGCGCTGTGAGGCAGCAGTGCTAACCAGTGAGCAACCATACCTCATTGCTGTACTTACTCCTAAATGTCCTTAGCGCACTCAGTTGAACAATAAGTATGAATAAATTCTGGCCTTGCCAGACATACCCATATCCCATGAACAAAACCAAAATGATACCATGACTTTTATTTTGGTTGGGGGGTTGGGGCTGGTGGTTGGAATTGCAAATTTACAGAAGATGGGGCTCTCCTTCTTAGACCAAAGATGATTTTGCGATTTTTGATCAGTTTACAAGATTAGGTAAGGTAGAGGGGGGAAAAGCTGTGTTCAGTGGTTGAAGGGAACATAGCTTCAACATGAGGAAGAATTTTATTTTTACACAGAGTGGCAACAACCTGGAAATCTCTGCCCACGAGGCCAGTGAAGTGGAGACGTCGAATGAATTCAAAATGAAATTAACCAACAGAGCTACACGGATCGAGCAGGAGGGGGACTGACTGGATTACACTGTGAGGAGATAACACTGGACTTGAATGGCTACTTTCAGAGGTGTGAGTGACTATATCAGAGGAACACATAGTAACTGGGAGCAGCTGTATATAACATTAAAGGAGCTTCCAAAACAAATAGGTGGGCACAAAGCATGCCATCATGTGGTATCACTACACTCCCTCACAGATAAACCTATAGGAGATACAACAGTCTGCATCTCTGTGGGAACTTCAGTCTACTGTAGCTGTGGCCTGTGTAAGTGACCACATGAACACATTTGGTTTGTGCTGTAGGAATGCAACAAGTCTGCGAGCATTAACGAAAAAGCAATGTCTTCAACACACGTCCTGTAAGTTGGGGGGGGGCAACGGGGATATCAGACAATACCCTGTGATAGCCCACACGGATGGGGGGCAATGGGGATATCAGACAATACCCTGTGATAGCCCACACGGG